TTTATCCTAGGCATACGCGGACTGTCGGCTGAAATAAAAGCTCAGTCTCCTTATATTATACGTAAATAAATGCATTCCATTTTGTGAACGTAGCGTGTTGAAATGCCAGATAGGCATTCAGAGATGATGTGCAATGTATTACACAGAAATAGTGAATTTAAAATCAGTTTCACCAATCTTAATATACACTGAAACCTGGGTTTATTTTCTGGATTACACAGAAACGTGCCCTTAACAGACTTTCATTCTAAAAATAGATTTGAAATTAATATTAATTTGATTAACGGAAACTGTTTATCACGTAAGGGAAGATGAAACTTAATGGAAAATTGAACATTAATTAATTACCATATTATCTCTACTGTAATGCACACTCTTCATTTAGTAATAGGTTTTCGGCAAAAAAAAAACGCTGTATCGATTCTTAGGCGCCATCACTTGTAACACGCAACTCGATTTCCGAAATGTTAAAATGTGAAAAAGTGCTTCTTAAAATCGAGGAAATGCGGTAATTTACTGTTAGTTCAGTTCTTTTTTTCCGTTCTCTTTCTGGAATTTATCTGACAAGGAACGTCCCTTTCAAAAAATATGAAAGAATTAAGGGCGGCCATCGAAGGATCAGAAAAAAGGAAAATAGTGTGTGGAATGTTAGAAGAACTTAAGGAATTATGAACAAAAATAAATAACGTAAGAAAGAAAGAAGAAAGAAAGAAGGAAAGAAACAAAAATAAACGCGCAATTCAACACAGACGCACAAAGAACTACAGAAATGAACGCTCTGGTTCTCCATATGCAAACCATTTATCGTGTTTGTGGCGTAACGTAATAAAGCCATTTTAGAATGGTAATATCGACTGCCCTGTCCACCAAACAGGAAGTCCATTAGTGTTCGCGCTGTGCTCCGTATGCAGACATCAGGGGCCATCAGAGTCAGAAGTGGTCTGTCTAAGTGGATTCCGCAACGTCAGTCAAGTTGCATCACTTTATACATTAAGATGCTGGCTTCTAACAGGTGGACGGGCGAATAGATGGATAGATAGATAGATATATGGGCTGGGAAATGCTCTCAGACAGAAATACATACAGACAAGTTGTCAGCTCTGAAGCGGGATTGTACGTACATCAGCACTCCGAAGAAATTCCCAGAGGACAAAAGAGAAAGTTGCGCTAGAGTAACGTGTTCCTGAAAATGCGAACTTGATACGTGTTCAGAAAGTTTAATAAAAATGCGGTGCATTATATCCTGGACAGCAGTCCCAAAAATGTAATTAAATTCAAATCTATTCAAGAGAAATTTACATAATTTAATTACATACGTTCCACAAGAAAATACGTCAACCTGGTTCTTTTTTAAATGACGTGGTTGATTTATAATTGAGAGGTATCCAGTTTGATTCTCTGACAGGCCACTGACTATCTGTCAGAACAGGTTAACGGTACTCATTTAAATACAATTTTAGTCGAAAGGTATCGAAAAGGAATTGATTATGAACTAATTAAGAATTCGATCGGTCATATTGGAAAGTTATAAGAACTGCGATATATATAAAATTAACTCTTCATATCTAATACCAAATTTTTCCATCAGATTTTCGTAATTTGCAGTAAAAGTTGTGAACATGATTCAGAAAACAGCAGCTTTACAACTTTGTTACTCGTGCAAGATGGAATACATTCATTCGCTGTTCTCGGAGTGGCTGTTATTGTGACGTGGTTATTTGCTACTTCAGTGGGATAAATAGGTAGGAACGACAAGATGAATGTTAGCTCAAAATACGGATTTATGCAGGAGAAATGTAACTTTCATTGCAAAAAGCAGTTTATACATTGTAGTTATTTGTTTTAAAAAAACCTGACAAAGACCCGTTATAAATTCTGCCGGAATTGGATTAAAATAGGGGAACAGAGTACAAGATTTCCCCTTTAACACAAAACCTACTATAAATAAGCAAATATGTGACAGTAGACTTTTTTCTTAAAATAAAATGTGCTCAAATAATGAAATTGTTTACTATGAAAGCTAGTAAATATATTCCCATTTACAAAGAAAAATAACCAACTTAATATAGCATCTCATTTAGGCTTATTTTAAATCCTTAACTGACACATGAAAATTATAGCAAGAAACAATTCCTTGCTCAGTCTTGATTGTTATAAGTCTAGTTGTATAAACAAAAGATGTGACACCGCATATATTTTTATTATTCGCCTCCATGTCGCAACATATTGACCGCATTTTCCTGGAAACGGTTGCTTAGCGACAGAACTATTGAGTATATAAATGTTCATATGTATTATACAAACCTCATATAGACTCGTATGAAGCAGATGTAAGAACACAGACAGAAAGTAATGATGCAAATGAAGGAATTAGAGAAAAGCCTGTATAAGAAACATTATTGAAAATTTGGGTTCCAGATATTATATTCAGTTAGCTAATTAGTAGCAAGGTAAAGGTAAATTTCTTTATCAAGCACCACGCCATGGAGACGTATGAAGAAATGGAGGTATTTCTTCACACATTCTTAACCTTAACACTAGATGAATATGAGTGGATAGCTTCACGAGAAAGATCACTTATTGCACATCGGTTAAGAGGCTGGGTGGACGTAGGGTTAGTGAAGACAAAAATGTCTACTACTTTCGGAAATCGAACCCGGTCTTTCAGATCATAGATCATTTATTAAACCGACTGAGCTACCGAATTTCTCAGTTAAAGGATAACATGAATGCGAGCTCTGCAGGATAAATAATTTGAAATGTTTAAAGAAAGTATTTTGCATAATGCATGACATGTTGCAGTTGTTAGAAACAAAGTTGTGCCAGTGTTGTTAGTGAGGTTAGATAATGTAATTGAAGATTCAACTCATTGTTTCGACTGGAGAGATTAGCTCATTTTAACGGGCCACGCAGAATATGTGCCCCATTCACTACACCTTGAAGGCAAGGACAGATCCACTTCTCTAAACGTTGTGTGTATTTTAACGTCGGACGATGAACAAGGTCCATAACCTAACAATCCAGGATTTAAGAAAACACGGTAGGAAGTAGATTGTGCTTCAGTTCTGCCTATATTGACAATACTACCTTTCTGACATTTATTTTTTACTAAAATTCCATGTTTCCTATCCGTTGGCCTTGACTGCTTCGATGTCTCGTTATGTATCGTGTTTACTGCGATCTGTCCTTTCTCCCACAAAGGCTTCGTTAGTCCTGAGTAAGTAACAGTACCACTACAACAAAGGACGACTGTCCTTTCTGTATATGACATTCCGCTGCAAAGGGTGGCACCCCTCTGCTTTTATATTTATTCTAGATATCAAGAAAAGTTTTATAGCCGTAGGGGAAGCACTTACCTCCATGCATATTTTTGAATAATTTGTTCAATACAGATGTTTGTTCTTCGCTACTAGCATTTACCAGTAGGATCGTTTTTAATTACAGTTTTCTAGTACGAACTATTGTATTCTAAGGGCAAATACTAGATTTCCATACCTTTCCCTTGTACCTCTCCAATTAACTCCGTTTTCAAATTTTCCTCCATTCCCTCGTTTTCCTTTTTGACTTAATTCTTCTTCTCTTTCATCCCCTTTTCTCCTTCTTCTGTTCATGCTATATTATTCAATTTCTTATCTTCTCCTCTTACTCTTCAATTTTAGCCTTTTCTTCTACGTCGTGTGCCTTCGTCTCTGTCTCTTCCTCCTCAGACATTATTTTTCTATTTCGTCTATCGTCTTCACCTATCTCTTTTTCTTCCTCAAATTCTATCTTCTCCTTTCCACCCCCCCCCCCCCCCCCCATAAGAACTCTACTCATTGGTATCTCTCCACCTGCTACCTGACATACACGCTTTCAACCACTTCAAGTTTACCCTGAAGATGGCAACTGCAGTATTCACCGAAAGTTTAAAATATTTTCGATATTCGACACTGTTCATCCCAAAAGCTGAAACTGCACGCAGAATCTCACGTTGCTTGTCTGGAGTTCCATTCTGGGCAGAGGCAGGAGTTTTCTGTTCTGATCCATAGTCAGGCCGACCAATCGGCTCTGTGATCATTCCCAGTACCTCCGTTCTTCTATTCGCTTATATCGTGATGCTTAATCTAAAGGACTATACGTGTATACACACGCTAAAATCTGCCGGCGCTACTATTTTGCTACATCAACCCCAATAAAGAGTCAGTCCTATCAATTTATTAGGGGTCAAAATTGTGTGGTCACTTTATAACTCATTGTACATACCTAAACTAAACTGAAGTGCATTTTCTGAGGTTACCGATGAGAACAATACGAATGTTATGCCATTTGATGCAGTCGGAGCTCTGAGAAAATGAAACGGAAAATCCAAAAAACAGGGAAATACAGAACGACATCTCTCTCGCTCCATTAAATATTTAAACAGTGTAATAAGGTCCTTTTTTAGTTTTAAATTAATAAAAACATAGGTAATCGAATTTTGTGGCCCCTTGTCTTATTATAAGATTGACCGTGCACATTTTACACCAATCAAGGACTACGATAAAGGGAGAAGTAATTTTGTGATTGGCATCCAAATAATAAAACGTTCTGAAAGGGGTTGATCCTTCGAGACTGAGTCTACCTGCCTTATATCGTATATTTCAGGGTGTAAACTCACATAAATACAGACTCGTTGCAGTAAAAGTTTAATGAACCACTTAAACATAGGTTGTATATCTTCAAGGGAGCCATATAACGTCTGTAGAGAATATTCCTTTGGGATAAAGTTTTGACAGTAATGGCTGTATCAGCCAAGTCACTTGCCAGTTAGGGTAGAGACCACAAAATTTAGCACAGTTATAAATAATCTTTCGTAGTTAATCATATCACTCCAAAATAGTTCACATCAATATTACAGCTTTACAGACATGAAAATTGAAAACAAATTTTACTTACCCACCTAATAGTTCAGTTGCACGACATTTTTTGATATTGATATGTGTGTTTGTGTGTTTATGATGCCTCGTCGTCTCATGTTTCAGGTTGAATGGACAGTAACCTTCCACACTGAAGAAAAAGGTACATTCCATGGGGTTTAGTGCCATACTGCAGATTAAGACATATGGACCACGAATTAAAACAGCCTTGATGACAACAGAAGTCAAAAGGTTAGGTCAGCTATTACACGTGTGTAGCCTGGCAGGCGCCACATAAATAAGGAGGATTAAAATAACCAAGGACCACTCCTTTCCATACCCTTCCCTGCTCATGTATATAGTTCGCAATATATTTCGACTCTTCCTGTCTTACGTAATTTGCACATCGTCCTTATGTCCTTATGTTCCGAGCCATGCAAAGGAAAGCCATCCCTTTATATCCCCGGTTCACTTCTATAGTCGTGCTGATACATCACAAATATGTATGCAAGTAGCACAAAATGCATGCGACCCGCGAGCCTTGTGTTGGAAACCCATTCTCTGTTGCATCACTGTAATGCACTTTGGTCCGGATAACCGGCCCACAGGCCTAAATTGGAAGCGACGCCCAAATATGAAAAACGGCTGCTAACCTAACCTTACACTCCTTCCCCTCCGACCCTAGTTCTTTGTTCTCTAGCTACAAGCTTTCTCCTCGGAACTATGTTTACAAGGGCCTTCAATGCAGTTAGAAGACTGTCTTCTGGGATGGGACGTTTCAGAGGTAGTTGCTGCCTTTAACATCTTGCGTCTCTGAAACGCCTGTAAACTTCTACCAGACATCCCAGAAGACAGATATCTTCATACTAGCTGCCATGAGAACCTGAATCTCACTCACGTGTATGTTACATTTTCTGTTAAGATTTAATTAATGTTTCACTGTCATATAAAATAGGTGAAAGCTATCTTAATCTTTACAAGGAATTTTCTGAACTTTGTCTGCTATTCGTATTAATGTGAGCATGGATGGGACCCAAAACCGGTCTGCATCTTGTGGCAAAGAGAAAATTATACCCTACCGTGCATCAAGTCGCGGTCTTCACAGAAGTGACTGATATATACCAGCGCACATTCAACGACTTTTTTTTACGAAGGATGAAGTGGTCAGAGTTTTAGGAACAGCAGGAGTATTTTAACAAGATAAAACAGGCGTAAATTGTTATGCACAATTCAATTAAGCGCCTTTGTAGCCAAAAAATTCCTCGCAGAAGATGGCTGGCTTCCAAGCAGAGATTCAAAACCGGTACGCCTTGATTACGTCGTAGGATTGCTAAGTAATACGACCTTCGGTTTGTAGCATCAATTCTGATATTATATGCCTATTTTTAAAACGTGTAACTTCCCGTTTCAGATGAATTCTGTGACTACTAAAGTGGAGGATATTTTCTAAAAAGCATCTTTCTGTGCGAGGAGAATATAGTATTTAAGAGATCTGTGTCTTTCGGTCCAGAGAATTTCCAATTACTATCTGCTGTAGTTCAAAGGCGTTTATGAGTAGTACACACACACACACACACACACAAGTCAAGCAATTTCAGAACAGGAAGCGGCAAGTCGGGACGCTGCGTCTGGCAAACATGGCAACTGATCCTTCCGCCTCCATGCACACGTAAAATGACTGTCGCCACCAGACTCGTCTGTCTCTGTCCCGGGGGCTCGCGGTTTCTGCCACGACCTTTGCCTGTAGCTCTTGCCAGTACTGCAGTAAGTACCCGTTTGTGTCAAGTTTAATTAAGGGGAAACGGGGTTAAATCCTCTGCTGCTCCTTGTCTCACATTTCTGCATGGACGCAAACCACAGGTCTGCATCACACAAACACAGGGGTCGACTCCACAGAATGGCAATTCCTTGCACAAGAAACACAGAGCGAGGTTTCTGCTACGTCAGCTAACCAGAGAACCTGGTCTCTGGTGTGGAAAGCAACTTTCCATCTCAAGGACCCCGGAGATACCACCAGGATGAAAATTATATGTTGTTTCTCGTCCCCCAGACAACCATTCAAGTCACCTTATTCACCCACTCCACCTCCCAGAAGACTTTCAGAGAACTTGCAGAGCATTATCACATTCTTCATATTCAAACAACTTGGCATGTGGGTGATGTCATTTAACATATTTACGTGATTCTGCAACTGCTCCAGTCTCGGAACTTTGAGAATCCAGACTACAATCTTACATCGTATTTCTTTAAGTCCAATTGTAATATTATCCTTCCATCTACAACAATAGTCTAAACAATAAGCGGTCCCTACACTGAAGGTTTTCAGACGAAAATACATAAAATTCCCGATTCATGTTACATATCCCGAAAATATTTTTAATTTATTTGAAAATTCTGCTGATATCTGGCAAAGAGAGCAAATTCTGAAGCTGTGAATTAAGCAGTGGTCTTGTGTTACTTCCTGCTACTTTGTGCACTTTCTAGATAATTTCCATAATTTTTTGAAAATTTTGAAAAATTTTCAAAATTCTACCCCAACCAGATCGCTATCAGAATCGTGTTCCGCCTTACCCGGTCTTTGACGTAACATTTCTCTGACGAACTTGGTCTCTGCAAGATGCGGTCTCTGTATGAGACATGCCTCTAACGGGTCGTCTTTGCAAAAACCGGTAACAGAAGAGACCGGGAGAGGCAGAGACCGAGTCCCGCAGAAAACTGGTGACGCAGAGAACGTGTGACAGACGGAGTCCAGAAGAGACAGACTTGTCCGAAAGAGAACGGTTGTGGTAGAAACCGGGAGACAGTGAGCGAGTTTGGCTTAGATCGGATTTGGCAGAGACAGGTTCTCGTGTGCATGGGGTAGGGAAATTTTTTTTAAAAAGAATAACAAATTTCAAATTTATTCGAAAATAAAAAATTCTGGAAATTGAGATGAGCACAACACCAAAAAAGTTTGAATTTTTTTAAAAAAATTTAAGATCAAATTTTTCAAAATATTTTTTCGCTTTTAGCGCTTATTGGATAATTTCCAGAATTTTATGATTTTTTTGGAAATTTTGAATTTTCTTCAAAACTCTCCCCTATCGATCGCAGTCAGAGAGTTGCTCCGCCTAACCAGATCAGTTACGTAACTTCTCTCTGACTGACTCGGTCCCTGCTAGTTCCGAACTCTGTATGACAATGTTTCTAACGGGACGTCTTCGAATGACGGGTAACAGCAAAGACTGGGAGAGGCAGACACCGAGTCTCGAAGAGAACGGGAGACGCAGAGAACGTGTGAGACACAAACGAAGTCTGGCAGAAAACGCGTGAGACAGAGACCGTGTCCGCCAGATATCGGTTGAGGTAGAAACCGGGAGAGAGAGGGAGCGAGTCTGGCGAAGATCAGATTAGCCAGAGACCGGTTGTCGTGTACATCAGAGTGTGATAATTTTGAAAATAAATTTTCAAATTTTTTAAAATTATCAAAGAATCAAAAAATGGTAAAAATTGTCCAAGAGGCGCACAAAACCAAAAAAATTAAAAAAAAATTGAAAATTGTTTTAATAAAAAATTTCAATTATTTTAGTTTTGTGCGCTTATAGGATAATTTCCAGCATTTTTTGGATTTTCGAAACTTTTGAACATTTCTTCAATAGTCTTCACAAGTGACGAATTCCAGACTCGGTGTATTCTTCTCACTGTCTCTGCAGTCCTCAGCAACTACCTACCTCGACTGTCCTCGGCAGGGCATGGTCTCTGACAGACCGTGTGTCTGCCTGTCTCGATCTCTATCACTCTGTCTCGATCGGTCTCTACATTACGTATTGTCTGCCGTTCCCGGGCTATGCATTCGGCACCTCAGAGACCGTCATACAGTGACCAATTTGTGCAGACCGAGGTAGGCACAGACCGCGTTGTACAGAGAGGCAGTACGTCTGAGACGGTCCGACAGAGACAGGTTCTCCAAGGTAAGTGGTGGAAAGAATTCTGAAGAAAAATTCGAAATTTTTGAAAATTTTCAAAAAATCAAACATTCCTGTAAGTTGTCCAAAAAGCGCACATAACAAAAATTTCTTGAAAAATTTCACATTAAATTTTTTTAATTTTATAAAAAAAAGTAGTTTGTGTGCTTATTAAACAATTTCCAGCATTCTTTGATTTTTCGAAAATTTTGAGACATTTGATATTTTTTCAAAATTCTTCCCAAGTGATGACTACCAAACTCGGTGTATTACACCCTGTCTGCCGGTCTCGGCATCAACAACAACCGGTTGCCACCTGACTGCTTCGACTGCCCTCAGCATAACACGTTCTCAAACCTAAATTTCCAGAACCTAAATTTAACTAACCTAACCTAACCCAACCTAACCTAACGTAACCCAACTCGACCTAACACAACCTAACCTAACCAAACCTAAACTTACCTAACCTAACATAAAATAAACTCTCCTAACCTAATTTAACTAACCAACCTAAACTAAACTAACCTAACCTATATAAACTTAACCTAACGTAACCTAAACTAAACTAACCTATACAAACTTAACCTTACATAACCTAAATAAAATAACCTAACCTAACCCAAAATAACCTAACCAAAACTAACCTAACCTAACCTAACCTAACCTAACCTAACCTAACCTAACCTAAACTAACCTAACCTAAACTAAACTAATAACCTAAAGTAACCTAACCAAAACTAACCTAACCTAAACTAATAACCTAAGCTAACCTAACTATCCTACCAAACATAACCTAACCTATACTAACCTAAACTAACCTAACCTAAACTAACCTAACTTAACCTAACGTAACCCAACCCAAACTAACCAAATCTAACAACCTAACCTAACATACCCAAACAACCTAACATATCCTAACCTAACCTAAGCTGACCTAACGTAAACTGACATAACATAACCTAACATAAACTAACCTACCCTATACTAACCTAACAAATCCTAACATAACCTTAACTAACCTACCCTAAACTAACCTAACCTAACCTAACTTAAAATATCCTAACCTAAACTAAACCAACCTTACCTAACTAAAATAACCTAAGTAACCTAACCTAAACTAACCTAACTTAATCTAACATAACCTAACGTAACTAACCTAATCTAACTTCAGCTAAACTAACCTAACCTAAACTAACCTAACCTAACTTTAACATACATTACCTAACTGACCTAACCTAACTAATCTAACCACACCTGACGTAACCTAACCTAAACTATACTAACTTAACGTAACCTAACATATCCTAACCCAACCTAAACTAACCTAACAAACTAACAACCTATCCTAACCTAAACTAACCTACCCTAACCTAACCTTACCTAAACTAACCTAAAGTAAACTAACCTAAACTAACTTAAACTAACCTAACCTATCCTAACCTAATC